AAATGGAAATCCAAGAGCTTGATCAAGGAAAATTTGAAAACCGAATCGTAGTAACATTCTTTAGGAATTTCTGTATTTCCTAGCTCTTAGGTTAATCGTAATTCCTTAGTCTTGATTCACATCACTATTATTTGATATTAATTAGTATCAAAATACATGAATTAGGGTTTTGGGATTGTGGAGATGATTGATACGGTTACAGATTACTTGTATCATACTACTTCACGTTTATTAATGTATTACTTGTTCGCCTTTCTTTAAAATCCCTGCTTTACAAAAAAAATTGCGTAAATTTCTTAGATTCTTATATCGATTCTCTTATAATTTTCCTGGTTCTTCCTCTTAAGTTTGCATAGTCATTCTCTAAAGACAACACCATCTTCGAATGTTTCAGATATTTGCGTAGACAAGCGTCAGGTGTCAACTTGTTTGAGCTTCCTAGTCATTATGCATGTAGCTAGTAACCGACTGCTTAATGTTCGCATTTCCTCATCACAAAAAAAATTTAAAAATTATAAAAACAAATTCCATATTTAATTCCTAAAGAAAGTTACTACGATTAACCAAGTGTCGTTAGCTCAATTGGTAAAAACCCTAGGCGAAACTTAGAGGTCACCGGTTCGAGTGACGCTTGGGACGAAACTAATATTACATGTTGTGGTTTCGGGCCTGGGGGGATTACGGGCTTTAACCCAGAACCTCGGTACTCAAAAAAAAAAAAAAAAAATTTACTGCGATTCAGTTTTCAAATTTTCCTCGCCTGTTGAGAGTCATATGCTTCCACAAGATAATGTGATTGTATATCTAAATGATCCAGTGATGGTTTACTAAACCTCGTCTTCTACATTAAGTAGTTAATGTTCACAACTCACAAGGAAGCCTAAGGAAGAAACGTGAACGCCATAAAAAACGACAATCTGAATAATCTTGAAGGAGTTTGCCTCTGTTTTTGAGGATCTCGTCTTAACTATTTTTGATTCTGTTTCACAATTTCACTTTCAGTTCTTCTATTTTTACATGGATTTTTGTGTCTATATTACAGTGGCGGAGCCAGAAATTTTGTTTATAGGGGTCATATATATATATATAAATAAATATATTTAATTAATTTTTATAAAATTAATATAATAATATTGGAGAGATTGATTAGTTTTTGTGTTTATATTCATAACCTTTAGAAAATATATATTTAAAAAAAATATAGAATGTAGGGAAAAAAACAGGATATATGTCTAAAACGAAGAAAAAAATTGATATGTAAATGAGTATTATAGATCTTTATAATAAAAGATATTATAGATTTTTGGAAATACAAAAATAGAAATGACATTAAGGTTAAGTGACAAAATAAATATTAATGGGGTCAAAAACAAGAATTGATCATATGACATAGGGGTCATTATGAATATTTTAAACCAAAATATCTAATTATCTAAGGAAACTTACTCTATAATTAAAAATTTATAAATTTTATGGGGGTCAACTGACCCCCCTCCTTGAACATTGCCTCCGCCGTCTATATAATTTGAATCTGAGCTTGATGTTCTTTTTTTATACATTTTATGGCTTTAATTTAAGCATTCAGATACATTTTATTCTGTCTTATCATTCATTATTTCTGAACTATAAGTATTGCAGGACTGAAAGTGTCGTTAAACTTTAATGGTCTTGTCTTCAATTCGCTCAGTAATTTTGGGTATTTAGGATTTGATAAGCTACTTGGCCTTCTTCACCGTTGGTTCTGAAGAGGTACTTGGCCTTGCCATTCACATTTTCTTAAATATAATCCTCACATAAGACTTTGCTAGGGTGTTTATTCACTTCCCTTGACAAACACGTTCCTGGGGAAACCTTGTATGACAAGGAAGCATAACCTTTTTTTTTTTTTGGTTTAATGTTAAAATTTATACCAAATAAAAAAGGTTTATATTGTACAATGAAAACCCCAAAAACACACCTAGCTCTTATAAAGAGAGACTAATGAAACATTTTACATAAATACATATGAGCTTTGCCACACCTAAGGTGGGCTATTGATACAACCAAAATAAAACCAAGGAGAGAAATTTTGGTAGCGGTATCCTCCAGCGAGAAGGAGATGAGACGATTGTGCATAGTGCGGTCAACAAGAGACTTAGTAGCATAGATGGTATTAGCTTCAGCTGAGAAGACCCTTCTGTTCCGCTCTTTCCAAATCAAATAGATAGAGGTTTGAAGAAGGAGTTTTAAAATCTTACTTGCAAAGTGTGGTGGAGAGGATTGGACACTCAAGGCCCACAAAGAGGCTGACGATAAAGAGATTGGAGGGTTTGGAGCAATCTTTCTCGCAAAAGAAACCCAAACCGATCTTGAAAACTCACACTAAAAAAATAAGTGATCATGAGAGTCCAAACCTGCAGCACAAAGAACACTAGCAGCAGGGGCAGTCATTCCCCACTGCCGCAATCTGTCTCTTTTGCTGAGTCTTCCATGCGCAGCTAACCATTGGATAAAGAAAAACCTTGGGACAGCTTCCTTAAACCAAACAGCTTTACACCAAGGCGCATGAGGAGAGACTTGTCTAATCTGCATCCATGTTCCCTTGGAAGAGAATTTTTCAGAGAAGGTACCAGATGGCTGCTTCCATTGATACCAATCAGACCCTCTAGAAGGAGAAGGCGGGTCCACATTAGACAAACATACCTGCAGCTGCTCCGCAGGGAGAGATCGTGCATTAGGAAAATGCCATTGACCATCTCTAGTAGCCTCCCAAACAGTAGCGTCTCGTCGAATATGCAGCTCCCTAGGACCCATCGCACCGAAAATGTCAATAAGGGCACCGAAAAAAAAGTTGTCATTTTATATTGCAATATAAAAGAAACTTCAGAGTTTAGAAACAGAGAGTATTAAAACCAAAGCCAAAAACAGAAGCAATACAAAAACAGAGTAAAGCCAATGAGGAAATAACCGTAGCCAAAAACGTCCAATGCACCGGCGTCTCTAACGTAACGAAGAAAGTGGCGGTCCCGTGGAAGTTTAAATGTTGCGTCTTCGTTCTTCCTCAATCCTATTATGTAACCAAGCTGGTCCTCCACTCGCCAAGTATGAGTTAAAACGTCCATCTCGTGTGACACTACAGACAATATCTCTAGCCAAAGAATTGGCTTTCAGTGAAGAAATGGAAAGACACATCCCGCATCACCCGTATTACCTGAACAATTTTATAGAGGACGGATCGATATTTTGGCCAGTCATTCGGTTGAGCTAAGGCACGTATAGCTGCTGTGCAATCTGACCAAATCTCACAAGAATCCACATGAACTTGATGGAGGCTTTGTAAACACCATAAAATGCAATGTAATTCCGCAGCTTCCCTATTAAACATCGGAAGGAATGCATCACGGGCATGTAGAACAGCATCCCCAACATGGTTGCGTAGTAACCACGCTCCTCCACAGTGATGAATATCCTTTGTCCATGAGGTGTGCATATTACATTTGAGCCGTCCCCACGCTGGTTTAGACCATCTTGTTTCAATCCTTGTCTGCCTACGCTAAGAATTTTGTGGTTATTCTAATTTTCCTGAAATTCTTAGTTAAAAATATTAAAATAAGAAAAAATAATAGTCTTTCAAACAACATTCCTCAGGATTGGCTCTTTTGAGTTTTATTTAATTTCGAATAACAAAAAAAAAAAAAAAGTCTTTCAAACTAATGGATCATCTGCCTTATTTTATTTCCAATTTTATTTCTTCTTAAAATCCATTCGAGTAATTATTTGTTACCAAACATTTAGTATTTTAATATATCAAAAGGAAATTGATACTTCTAAAATTTATTTAAGTGTAAAAAAACTTTTGATAAAGAAAGTCATCTAAGATGAGTTTAAAAAAAAAATCATCAAAGAATTTAATCGAAAAAAATAATATCTATGGGGACATTTTCTTAAGTGGCTAACGATCCAAGTTTTCGGTCTTTCCAACCTGAGTTTGATTCCAGTAAGTCGTAGTACCCTGCATTGTAAGAATTGAAATTTGTGAGGGTCTTGTAGGTCCAAATGATATATAAAAGCCAATTTAAAAAAAAATTTAAACTCAATTCAAAATTCAAGCATAGAATTGAAAAGAAAGAAATTTTTAATTTTTATTAATCTCTTATATAGTACGGGACATCATCTAGTTACTCCTTAAACCTAAAGTTCTAGAAAACATCATAATTAAATAGCTTAAAAGTTAAATCCTATGATTTTCCTCACTAATAGCCAGTAGGGTAGGATGTAAAGTAAATTATACGAAAAGGGTGTTTTTAGACATTAGCTTAAAATCATGGTTAAATAACTTCAAAGTTAAATTTTCCTCACTTGTTAAAAATTCCTATGATTCACATTCTTATTTATTCATTCTTGAAGGGAGTTTTTGAAGTGACTAAACACCCTAGAAGAGTCATCACCTACATTTGAACAATTAGTAAAAGAATATAAGTCTTACTAGAACATGATACAAAAATAATGTCAATGAAATTCAAGTAGTACCTCTTCAAAACCAACATCAATAAGCATTTCTTGCAGTTTATCAAAACCATCATAGCCATGATCATTGAGAACATTCAGTACAAGACCCATAGAGTTCAATGCCACATTGAGATCATCGGTGATGATAAATGATGTTCTACAGCTGAGAAATACTCCATCAACTTCCTCTCCTTCTTCAACCTGAAACTCGCGAGTCATCGAGCTGCCACAACTACATGACCTTGAGGTACTGATATTGCTGTATACCTTACATCATAACTCAAATGATATAAAATTTGGTCAGGCAATGAACCTGCTTGCCTCAGTGTCATCTACGTTTAACTTTAGCTTTGTGCAATCACTCTCCTTTATACTCCTTGGATACAACAACAAGTTCTTACAAGCTTGAGTCTCGAAATTATCATCATCCATGTCTAAAACACTTTTGTGAAGGTTGTGAAAAATCCTACATGACAAAAGGACACGTCATCAGAGAAGGCGACTGGTAAGGCGATTAGGGTTTCTGAAGCTTTTCCATCACGCTAGGGTTTAGGCGGCGGCCACCACCGGTGGATCCGATGTCTGAGCTGGCAAGCTCCGTGTCTCCTCCGGGAGATTCCTCTCCTGTTCAATCCAAGCAACTTTCGTATGCAGCAGCAGTGAATAAGCGTCCGTCACTTAAAAAACATGAGTTTCAAGTCAGTTTGGTTGATGGTATTCCAACGATTGAGGTTCCTTCAGCAGTTATCAGTGATTCCGTTCCCCTATGGGAAGATTTTCTTGTTGGTAGATTTCCGTCTACTGCTCCCCACGTCGCTAAGATCCATGTTATTGTTAACAAAATATGGTCTCTTGGAGATAAAACAGTCCGAATCGATGTGTATGAGAATAACACCACTTCAGTCAAGTTCCGAATTCGAGATCAAGCAACCAGATTGAGAGTACTGCGTAGGGGTATGTGGAATATTGCAGGGCTTCCCATGATCCTTGCAAAATGGTCTCCAATCCCAGAAGAAGCTCAGCCTGAAGTCTCGACAATGCCTTTATGGGTCACTTTGAAAAATGTTCCTCACTCGATGTATTCATGGGAGGGTCTCGGGTTTCTTTCTAGTCCAATAGGAGATCCCATTCGACTTCATCCGGAAACAGAATTATGTAGCAACTTTGAAGAGGCAAAGGTGTTCGTTGGAGTAAATTTAACAAAGTCTCTCCCACAAAAATTCTGCTTCAAGTTGAATCAAGTGGAGGAGGTCACCGTGGAATTTGTTTATCCTTGGCTCCCTCCTCGACGCTCAAGGTGCAGCAAATGGGGCCACACGGAGGATGTTTGTGTGACCAAAAAAGCGTCTCCCGTGAAGGTAAAGGCAGATGACTTAGAAGAAGGTGAGCTGGTAGCAGAAAATGATTCTGAAAAAACAGAGACCTCTGTTCCAGTTGAGGTGCAAGAGGTGCAAACACCTACGTTGGCCGTATCGAATGCAGTGCAGCAAAACAGAGCCGCTGAGACACATGAGGAGCAAGATAATATAACACAAGGTGCTGATAAGGATGGTTGGTCCTTAGTTTCCCCAGGGAAAGGCTGTAAGAGTAATGAGAAGGTTCAAAGCTCACTAGCTTATGGTCAAGTTACTATTCTCTCTGCTTCTCGATTCTCTGTTCTAGATAATATTGAAGAGCCCAAGCTAGACGATGCAGTCATCGAAGGGGAAGTGGCAGAAGGTAAGGAAAGTCTAGACAAAAATGTCGAGAATGGTGTTAACACTCATGCAAGTTCGACGCAGGCCATCACAGAAGTAGAGAAAGCAAGCTCGGTCCGAGCTACCCGTCAAACAAAGAATTCACAGAAAGCTACATCGGAATCTTTTTCTCAACAAGCTAAGGCTCGCCCTAGCGTATCGAGCAAAAGAACCTCCAAATAACATCATTAATGTCTTGCTTTTTCTGGAATGTGCGCGGTTTCAATAAATCAACAAAACATTCCGTAGTAAGTGACTGGTTACATGAAGAAAATTTGCAATTTGGGTGTCTTTTGGAAACGCGAGTACAAGAAACCAGGGCTTCTCGTATTCTGTCTTCTGTTTTTCGAGATTGGTCTTCTATTACTAATTATGAATTCAATAGTTTGGGCCGCATATGGGTAGTTTGGAGAAATAATGTTCGAGTCACTCCGGTCTACAAGAGTGGTCAGCTTGTAACATGTTCAGTTTTGATGGATGGTGCCTCAGAGGAGATTTTTGTCTCTTTTGTTTATGCAGCTAACCTACCAGAGGATAGGAAAGAGCTGTGGGAAGATCTTAAATATCATTTTGATACTCCACTGATTCAGAATAAACCTTGGCTCATCATGGGAGATTTCAATGAAATTCTCGACGGTGAAGAGCATTCAAACTATGAGAACTCTCCTTCTATTTCTTATGGGATGCGGGATTTTCAAGCAATGGTGAGGTATTGTTCTCTTGTGGACATGAGCTCTCACGGCCCTCAGTTCACTTGGTGTAACAAGCGGGAGGAAGAGCTGATATGCAAAAAATTGGATCGTGTTTTGGTTAATGAGGAGTGGACTCGATTATTTCCTGAATCCTATAGTGTGTTTGAACCTGGCGGTTGTTCGGATCATCTTCGATGTCGGATTAAAATAGCAGCAGCTACTAGTCGTCCGCGTGGTCCTTTCAAATTTTCAAATGTCATCGTGTCATTGCCGGATTTCCTGCCTACAGTTCAAGAGTTCTGGGATAGTACAAGTGTTCTTTATCATTCCACCTCTGCTATTTTCAGATTTTCTAAAAAACTTAAGGCCCTTAAGCCAATTTTGCGGTCTTTGGGACGTAGAAAGCTACACCAGCTGTCGACTAGAGTTGATGCAACATATGAGGTTCTATGTGACAAGCAACAAGCCACACTTGAAAATCCTACTTCGGCTTTGATGGAGGAGGAAGCCGAGGCTTATAAGATATGGGATCATGTAGCAGTACTTGAAGAAGGTTTTCTGAAACAGAAATCAAAGCTTCATTGGCTTAATGTGGGAGATAGAAATAACAAGTATTTTCACAATGCAGTCAAAGCAAGATTGGCCAAGAATGCTATTAGAGAGATAAAATGCCAAGACGGGTCTGTAGCTACAACACAAGAAGATCTTAAGACTGAAGCTGTGAGGTTCTTTGAGGAGTTTTTATCACACGAACCAGCGGACTATGAGGGTGTCCCTGCGGACCAGATTGAAGAATTGTTGGATTTTTGATGTTCTTTATCAGAACAGGACACGTTGGTGAGTCCTGTTACAGAGGAAGAGATTCGAATTGTGTTGTTCAAGATGCCGGGAAATAAAGCCCCTGGTCCCGATGGTTACACGGCTGAGTTCTTCAAGTTAACATGGCCTATCCTGGGGAAAGACTTTGTCACTGCAATTCAGTCTTTTTTCATGATGACTTTCTTGCCTAAAGAAGTTAATACCACAATTCTGGCCCTTATTCCAAAAAAGAATGAATCTATAGAGATGAAAGATTATCGTCCCATATCATGCTGCAATGTGATGTATAAGGTAATATCGAAAATTCTTGCTAACAGATTGAAGAAAATTCTCCCTGCATCAATAGCCCCAAACCAGTCTGCGTTTATTAAGGATCGTCTTATGATGGAAAATCTGTTGTTAGCTTCAGAATTAGTCAAGGATTACCATAAAGCTTCAGTCTCTAAAAGGTGTGCTGTTAAGATCGACATATCAAAGGCTTTTGATACGGTGCAATGGCCTTTCTTGCTGACGGCTCTAAGAGCCATGAATCTTCCGGAAAGTTTTATTCGCTGGATTGAGCTCTGTATTGGCACTGCTTCGTTCTCTGTTCAAGTCAATGGGGAGTTGGCTGGGTTTTTTCAAAGCAAAAGGGGTTTAAGACAAGGATGCTCTCTTTCTCCATATCTTTTCGTCATTTGCATGAACGCTCTCTCTAGAATGCTGGATAAAGCGGCAGTGGATCAGAAAATTGGTTACCATCCTAGGTGTAAAAGCATGGGACTAACTCACTTGTGCTTTGCGGATGATATTTTGGTTTTTTCAGATGGGAGTGTACGATCAATAGCGGGTATTCTACAAGTTTTTAATAAGTTTGCAGATGCCTCGGGACTCAGAATCAGCCTAGAGAAATCAACCCTGTTCATGGCTGGTTTCTCATCTACTCATAAAGAAGATATACTCCAGCGTTTTCCATTTGAAATGGGAACTCTTCCAGTGCGGTATCTCGGTCTCCCTCTTCTCACTAAAAGTATGAATCGCTCCGATTATCTACCCCTCATTGAGAAAATAAGAAATCGCATCACCTCTTGGACGGGTCGGTTCTTATCTTTCGCGGGTAGACTACAACTGATCAAATCTGTCCTATCAAACATCACTAACTTTTGGCTCTCAGCTTTTAGGCTGCCAAGTAAGTGTATTAAAGAACTTGAAAGTCTTTTCTCTGCTTTTTTGTGGTCTGGTGTAGAACTCAACTCAAGGAAGGCAAAAGTGGCATGGTTGGATGTTTGTAAGCCAATTAAGGAAGGTGGGCTGGGACTAAGACCGATATCAGAAGCAAACACGGTGAGTATTTTGAAACTTGTTTGGCGGCTTGTCTCCGCTAAGGACTCTCTTTGGGTCAGCTGGGTTCACACAAATTTGTTACGAAATGGGTCCTTTTGGTCAGTTCGACAAACAAGTACTTCAGGTTCATGGATGTGGAGGAAAATATTGAAATATCGGGATAAAGCCAAACCTCTACATAAGATGGAGGTAAGGTCAGGTCTGGCTACTTCCTTTTGGCATGATAATTGGTGTTCTCTTGGGAGATTGGCTGATGTTTTAGGTCCCCGGGGATGTATCGATATGGGTATTGCCACGAACTGCTCAGTTGCTGCAGCCCTCTCAAATCACCGCCGACGCAGACACCGAAATGAAATGCTAAACCGAGTTGAGGATGAGTTGGATTCCCTCCGATCACATTCTCTAGCGGGTAAGGATATTTCACTATGGAAAAGGAACAATGGCTCTTTCAAGGGAACGTTCATTTCAAAGGACACTTGGTATACGATACGAGACACTAATCCGGTGTGTGAATGGTATAAGGGTGTATGGTTCCCCCACTCAACGCCTAAGTACTCATTCATCACTTGGATCGCCATTCGTAATCGTTTAGCTACGGGAGATAGACTGTTACAGTGGAATGCTGCAGCAAATGGTGATTGTAATTTGTGTGATGGGAACATAGAAACAAGAGAACACCTCTTTTTCTCCTGTCCGTATTCGTCTCACGTCTGGTCAGCCCTCACACGAGACATGCTTGGGCAACACTACACAACACGATGGGAAACTCTGCTTCCTTTACTCACGGCTCCATCTACCTCAAAGCTACATTTGTTTGTTTTGAGATATGTGTTTCAGATATCTATCCACAGTCTATGGCGAGAACGGAATGGGAGACGACACGGCGAGTCACCAACCCCAGCATCCATGCTAGCAAAACTGATCGACAAGAACGTTCGTAACCGGCTGAGCACCTTAATTACGACGGGCTCACCCACTTATGAAGGCGGACTGCGATATTGGTTCCAAACCCATAGTCGCTAGTTTTCCCTTCTTTATAATCCCTCTCAAAAACTCAGATTTTTTCAGCTTGATGTTGCATTTATTGTAAAACCGTCTTTTTTTGGTGAATAAATTTTACATTCATACAAAAAAAACAAAAAAAAAAAAAATCCTACGATTGAGGATTGTAGACTTTGATGGTGCTAATCCAGAGGACACATTCCTCAGGAAACATTGTACGACAATGAAACATAAAATGTTCACACCATTGGTGCAACAAGAAACTAGAGTTTGAACTTGTTCTAACTTTGAAATTTTATGTTAGAAAGTCAGACCGGATGATTTTATACGCTGAGTGCAGAGAAGAATTTGTTGATTTTCTTTTCACTTTTCTCGCTATACCGCTTGAGTTTGCTCGGGAACTCTTTGTTGACAAAGTGAATATGGGGTGTGTTGGAAATTTGTGCAGAAGCGTAAAAGAATTGAATTTTGAGCAGGGCCGGTCCAGTAAAATCCGGGGCCGAATACGAAAAAAAATTGGGGCTTTTTTGAAAAGTAAAAACTGTTAATTTCTTTTTTTTGCTAATTATGAACATTGTTTGCTAATTACAAGGCCTTTTTGCTAATCATGGAGTTTTTTTTTTTGTTAATTTTGAGGCCTATTTTACTAATTTTAACACCTATTTCACTAATTGTGGGGTTTTAAAAAAAAAATTCTCATAAAATGGGCCTCGAAAATTTAAGGTCCAATACAAATGTTTCACTAAAATGTGTGAAAGGCGGGACCTGGTTTTGAGCAGAGCAAAGAAGCCACTAGTGTTATCAATTGCATTCTTCCTTATTACTATACTTCTTGTCGTACGCAGCTTCTCGATATTGTCATCCAGGAAATGCCAGAATATGAATGCTTGGTTTCCCGCCGCAGTTATAATAGTAGCAAGCTCTCCAAAAAAGTCAACAAGAATGTGCTTGCCGAAGGTGAAAGAATCGCCAAGTTAATTCCAATGGTTTCATCTTCAGATTCTGGGAATATTCGACTTGTGAAGCAAGAAACGAATTTCATAGTGTCAGATGATCTGGTTGTCACACCTATGAAGTCATCCTCAACAATTTCATTATTAAGCAAGTTGCAAATGAATATCAGTGATATTGAGGAGCAAGTAATTAGTATTGGAAAAGCTCAAGTATGATGATACACTCTACTTGTTTATACTCTTCTGATTAATAAGAAAATCTTACTTTATTTTAACTTTTGAATCTACGTTTGTTTGCATTGCAGGCCATCAGTTTACTGAGAGCTTCTTTGATCACAACCTCTGCATTATCCAATGGTCTCCATTAACACTGATCACAACCTCTTATGTCACACACATAATGGGTCATTTCACACATTACACAACATCATCTTCGGGTCAGGAGCCAAGCTCGA